AAAGTCTTTTTGTGGACATGTTTCTCTTGGGTAGATATCGAAGAATGGAATTGCTGGGTCATATCACATGTGTATGTTTAACGTTATAAATAATTGTACTGTTTTACAGTCCCACCAGCGATGAATGAGAAGTCCAGATTCTCCGAGACCTTGTCAACACCTGGTACCATCAGTCTTTCTAAATTGGGCCTTTCTGGAGGGTGTGATATAGCATCTCATTGTGGTTTTAACTGGAAAAGTATGTACCTTGTTCCTGTCAAGAGTTGAGGCCTAATCCTCACTCTTAGAAGCTCAGTGTTCTTCGGTACTAATGGCCAACTTACTTCCAGAGAAGGAAGCCATTTCTCATGGATGACTATTGTCTTTCAGACAAAAGGTAGAGTTCTCATTATAAGTTAAAATGATCAGAGGCCAGGCTGTTCACGCTGCATTCACACGCAGCCTTCCTATTGCAAGGTCATGACCAAGCCAGGTCATGAAAATTCCTGTGAGTCCCCATCCCCCTGCTGTTTCTCTTTCTAAGATTTTTCCATGTTATCACCATCTTTTTTTTTTTTTTTAACAATTTTTTAAATGTCTTACATTTATTTTTGAGAGACAGCACAATCAAGGTAAGGGGAGAGAGGTAGATGCAGAACCGGAAGCAGGCTCCAGGCTGGAGCTGTCAGCACAGAGCCCGACGTGGGGCTTGAACTCACAAACTGTGAGATCATGACCTGAGCTGAGGTTGGACACTCAACCGACTGAGCCACGCAGGCACCCTCATGTTATCACCATCCGTCAACGATAGCTTCAGGAAGGCTTGAGTCACTCTCTCATGTGGACTCTCAAATCTTTTTTTCTACCCTTCTGTTGCTCAAAAGCACTGGAACTAACATTGACTTACACCAGCACTATTACCATCTACTTAGGGCTTTGTGGTGACTATTAGAAAGTAAATCAGAACCAAGGTGTTATGCCTTTGCTCGAAAGCCACATTCCAGGATGTCCTGTGCATTGGTTAGGATATGTGCTGTTGCAACTAACAGGAATTAGTTTAAGCAAAGTGAGTGTCATTGCTCATGTCATTGCAAAGCCCAGAGTTTGACAGCATTCAGGGCTGAGAGGATTCAGTGACTCAATGATGTAACCAGGAAGTTTCTTTCCATCTCTTGGCTCTTCCTTCTATCACCTTCGTCCTATGACTGGCTCCCCCTTGTGGTCACAAGATATTTACCAACAATTTCCCCGCCTACTTACTTCCTCAGAACTCTGACACAGCCAAGCCCTGGGGCACATGCCTATCCCTGAACCAATCAATCGGTGTGGCCAGGGGGTGGAAGCAGCTTAGGCAAAGCCCCCTTCCCCCCAGGAAGCTGGGGCATGAGTGGGTGGGTGGTTACTGAATAAAAACTAAGACAGATAACAAGAGGAGGGACAGATAACAAGAGGAGGAGAACTAGGACAGATAACCAGAGGTGTGGGCCAGGCAGCGACAAGGTCCACTACAGCCTGGACTTAGAATTATTCTGAATATTCTAGGAAAAAAAAGCCTCTGCCACGGACACACAAGTTTTCCCAACACATATGTTCCAAATGCAATATCTCCCTGGCCAACAACTTTCTTGCCACTCACCTTCCTTAGTCTCCCTCAAACACCTTCTAGATCGAACACCTAAGTTCACCTACCCCCTAACTTGTAACCATACTCACTCCAATCTTCCTCGTTGCTCTCAACACCATGGACATAGCTGTCACCTTCCTTCACTGCCATCTGCTTACAAGTCACATTTGGCAGAAGCCCGTGGTCAGAACTTCTACGCAAGGCCAAGTTAACAAATGCTTCTTAACTTGTCATCTTACACGGTATGTGTTTGCTCCTGTGCCCCTGGCCTTACATGTCCAACTTTTTTTTTTCTGTGAAAAATCCATCTTTTCAATTAAAATAATAATTGTCTAGGGGACAGAAATACAAACTTTTAATTGATTTTCTACCCACGGCTGTAGCTTCAGTGAATATTTTAAAAAAATCTAATGCGTACTTATTTTTGAGGGAGAGTAGGCGGGGAGGGGCAGAGAGAGAGGGAGACACAGAATCTGTCAGCACAGAGCACGATGTGGGGCTCAAACTCCCGGGCTGCGAGATCATGACCTGAGCTGAAGTCGGACGCTCAACCTACTGAGCCACCCAGGAGCCCCTTCAGTTAGTACTTTCAAATATCTGTGCTCTGTGCAGAAGATAACTTTATGTATTTATGTATTTAAACTCTTTTGTGTGCTGATACGCTGGGGGGATTTTTCTAAGAAAGCAGCAACTTTTAAATGTATCAAAATAAACGATATTGAACCTTCTTGTCTCTGGGTTTTCTTGTAGTTCTCAAATGTTGGCTACATACCTTGGGGGCTATGAGTTGGGACACTGCAATGGAGAGAGATTGATTGCCTAAAGCATGTCACTGATTGGCCCTAAGTGGGTAAATACATCAAACTCAAAACCCACCCAGCTCCATCAAAGAGGACGCGATGCTTTTGGAAGGGCAGTTGGTGGCCACCTATGCCAGAGAATAGTTTAAGCACTCTGTATCCTGTCCTTGTAATAATATTTTTCAAACCTCAGAAACCTATTTTTTTTATGATGTTTGCTATATCGCATGTGGCTTTTCTTTCTTAAGAGAAAAATGGAAGCCGTTCAAAAACTTATAGCTTCATCTGAACAGCAGAGAATCATTGTATTGTCCCAAAACCCGCACTTAAAAGTGCACGAACAAAGTCAGCATTCAAAAGAGGAAATAAGAATTTCCTTTCAGTTAAAAAAATAGATATTTGGTTTTGCTTTGTGTTTGTTTTTGGGCAAACTCTCAGGATGACACAAATGGTCAAGCTCCTGAAAAGCCACAAATAAAGACAACAAGTACTCCTGCCTGGAAACAAATGAGTACTGTTCTCTAGAAATAGATCTCATTGGGGCTACTGGCTCAAGAAAGACCTACAGCCTTTATGGAGAATTATTTCCAAAGTGGGTTATGGAACTCTTCACCCCAGAAGCTGCTTCCTATAAATGGGGCCATGATTATAGAAATCACACACATACACACACACCACAGTGGGTGGCAAGGACATAAAACAGACTTCTTTCTTTCGTTTTTAAAAAGTTTATTTATTTATTTTTTTGGGGGGGGGAAGGGGCAGACAGAAAGTGAGGGCAAGAATCCCAAGCAGGCTCCCTGCAACCATCCCGTCAGCACAGAGCCCGATGTGGGACTCGAACTCACGAACTGCGAGATCATGACCTGAGCCGAGATCAAGAGTCGGACACTTAACCAGACTGAACCACCCAGGAGCTCCCAGGCTTCTTTCTTGATGGTTGTTTCCAGAAGTTGCCTGAAACACGCATCTGGAAGTTCTAGTTTTTCTGCCTTTTGTCGAGCTTTGGTTGCAATACCAAGTACTTAAAACACCCAGTACACGGAGGATGACTATGCCTCTGTGAGTGTGAGACAGAGAGGAACAAATTCTGACTAGTGATTTCAGCTTTTCTTGCAAAATCAGCGAGTTGGAGGCTGTCCTGCTGGTGACCAGGAATGCAGCCCCCCAAGGATTGAGCGCTAATCACCTGTGGGTCTGTGTTGCTAAAATCCGACTGTCACAGCTCACTGGATGCCGGACTCAGAGTGGCCTCTGGTACCCCCAACCCTCACCCACTCCCACACACCTGTCCCCTACACTCCCCTTATTCTCGGTCCCCGTCTCCCCACTAGCTCTTTGGATCCAGAACCCAGGAACATTCTTCATTGTTCCTTTCAAAGGTCGGTGGTGGGTGTTGGACACTGAAGAAATCTCACCTCTCCTCTACAGAGGCAAACAGAACTTGGATCAGAACTTACAGGTAAACAGGAGGATGGACCAAATAACCAGACGACTCACAACAGAAACAAACAGTACTGCTAAACAACAGCAGAAGAGTGAGGCCCCGGGGCTCACGTCCGCAGAGTGCGCAAGCTAACCCGGCTCACTGTCATCAACCCTATTAACGCTTCTGTGGTTTTTTGTTTTTCAAAAGAAGCTCATGTTGAAAAATCACCCACAGCACACTGCCTTACCAGCAAGAACCATCCTAACTGAACACACTTCCTCTAAACACGCATCTGCCTTGCTGCCTGGGGTTCTTTCCACCCTCTGATGATAGCTAACAACGATGCCACAAAGTAGTCGTTCTGGAGAACTTTTGGTCAGGTATTTTCCACAATGTGGGGTACATGAGTCCCTGTGGTCAGTGAGTATCTTAAGGGACACGCAAGTACTATTTTCATGGTTATGCACTAATTCTAATACGTATCAGGAAAAAATGCCACCAGCAAGCACATCAGTCCGTGCACTCAGCAGCACCACATAGGGTGAGCATCTTAACGAACTGCAAGGCCAGAGTTTCACTAGGTGCTTTTTCTGGGCCCTCTGGTTAGCAGATGAGAATCATGGCCACTGACGATCCCCGGGCTTGGGGAGATGGGTCTCTCCTGCCACCCTGGTCCAGTGGCTGTGGACAAGGGTCTCTGGGCAACGTTGCAACTGGACAGTCCCGTGAGGGCGAAGATGTATCCACAGCACCCCAGCTCAGGCTGTGGTAACAGGTCTCCTTTCTCAAATCAGACACCTTACCCGGGGATTTTGAAACATTTAATCAGAAAAGAGTCTGGCATTTGAAAAGTTAGGTTGATAAACTTGACACAGTCTTGATATTAGCAATTTATCTATTTATACATTGTCTAAGAAAATAAGGTCTGTGAAGACATCCGCAAGATATTGAAGAGTTCGTTACAAGCTACAGCAAACTGCAGATAAGTATCCAGTTTAATTGTAACAAACTGCCGCGAGCAAATTTAACTAGGTATATAAAAACATTAGTCAAATACAATTCTCTGGAAATATACATCATACCTACAGTTTGTCGGGTTTTTTGTTTTCGTTTTTACAAGGAGATTCTTCGTGTTTTCTCCCTCCCTTTTAATTCTCAAAATGGCCAATCACTGTATGGTCCTGGATCTCCAAGCTATAAAACTGAAGTATGTGTTCCCAGCATAGCAGATGGTGACCAGAAAGGCGAAGAACTACAGGAAACAAAGCATAATAGAAAGAGGGCTTAGGGCACATTCTAATTAGCAGAAGTTATCATTTCGCCTCCATTGAATCAGGCACTCACAGCATCCCTTAACTCCAGGCTTCCTCATCTAAAACTGCTTTATTGGTTCAATTACCTTCCTTCTGAAATGATCTCTGGCTATGCTGGTTGTTTGGGTTTTGTTTTGTTTTGTTTTGTTTTTTGGTTGTTTTTTTTTGTTTTGAAACATATCTGGAAAGCTTGTAGTTCTGCTCAAATAACCACAGGCTGTTCACTTTGGGGTGACTATGGTGGGGTGGCATCCGAGAAAAGCACATGAATTCCTAATTTAGTACAGGCAATTTTAGACCAGGGCTTAACCTCAGACTGTCATACGATCAGTTAAATAAAGGAGTTGAGTTTGTAGGAGGAAGCGATGAACCCACGTGGTACGAATGGGGAGTAGGGAAAATGTAGGCCCCTCTTCAGGGGCAGCTACTGCCCAGTTCCGGTGGATTCTTGCTGTAGGATAGCTTGAGCCATGTGCTGCTACGGCGTGTGATTTTTTTTTAAGTTTATTTATCTAGTTTGAGAGAGACAGAGACGGTGCTCATGGGGGAGGGGCAGAAGGAGGAGACAGAGAATGCCAAGCAGGCTCTGCGCTGCCGGTGCAGAGCTGGATGCGGGGCTTGAACTCACGAAACCGTGAGATCATACATAATCTGGTTTCTAATAAGAGTCGGACACTGAACTGACTGAGCCACCCAGGTGCCCCAAAGCTTGTGATTTTTAATGTCATGCACACCACGCTCTCTACGTTTGAGTAGAGATTTTCAAATATAAATACAAGGATATAATGAATGGCTATATTATCATCAGTCAGCCTTCATACTATCATTTTGGCATCCCTGTCTAACTGCCCCCCACTCCCCTGCCAATGGCTTCTTTGGGGGATGAAATATTTTAAGGCCAATCTCAGAGAAACTTCTAGATTTAGTTTTACAACCAGAGCAACAATACACACGATGGCTTAGAAATGCAAACCATACAGAAGCGTGTGTGTGTGTGTGTGTATATATATATATATATATATATATATATATATATATATATATATCATTAAAGCAGAAGCTCCTCAGGGCCGCCCCCTCGTCACCCAGCCACAGGCCAGTCTCTGGAAGGAACCTCCGTTACTGTGTATTTCCTCTGCATTCTCTGAAGCATAAAACAAACATCTCTACTTCTCAAAAAAAAAAAAGAATCATAGTGTGCTTCATTGTTTTGCAACTGTCTCCCCACTTGAACTGTAGTTTGCAGAATATTCTTAGATTTGCCACAAATAGCTTTTCAAATATTCTACTTGTTCCAAACTATCTGGCTTGCTGGGTCTTAGCCTCTGTGCACCTCAGGCTGTCGAGGCCCCCACTACACTTTTCGATGCTTTCAAACCACAAGCTAATGGCCAGTGTGTCACAACTGTGTGGGTGTGCTGCCTGTCCTGCAGATAATTTGGGCCTCCTGATCCCAGCCCAGTGGGAGGAGGAGGACCGTGATCCTGACCATGGAGGTTTGGGGGGTGGTGGAAAAGTGGCTCACTCACCGGGATGAGGCTGCCTTGTGGGGCTGTTGAAGTTGTGGCTGTCCTCCGGGAGACAGAAGAGTATCCACCACAGCGGCCGAGAGTGGGTATAAGACTAGAAGAATTGCCATTAAAGCACAGACCCTGGGAGAGACAGAGGTGGTCAGGAGGTGGAAGGTCTGGGGTACCTCAACTGAGAAGGGCCAGGACCGCATGCCAGGTGTGGAAAGGGTGCATCTGGATGCTCGGGAAGGGCTTTTTTTTTTTTTTTTTTAAGTTTATTTTTTATTGAAGGGGACAGAGAGAGAGAGAGAGAATACACAAGCGTGTGCAATCAGGGGAGAGGCAGAAATAGAGGGAGAGGAGAAAGAGAGGGAGAGGAGAGGAGAGAGGGAGAGAGGGGGAGAGAGAGGGAGAGAGGGGGAGAGAGAGAGAGAGAGAGAGAGAGAGAGAGAGAGAGAGAGAGAGAGAGAATCCCAAGCAGGCTCCTTGCTGTCAGATCCCGATACAGGGCTCAATCTCATGAACCATGAGACCATGACCTGAGCCAAAATCAAGAGTCAGATGCTCAACCGACTGAGCTACCCAGGTGCCCCCCACCCCCGAAGCAGCTCTTCAGGGCCTCTAGGAGGAGAGGGCTTAACACCAGCTTATATGCAATACAACCAGACACCCCTCACCTGTCCCCCAAGATACAAGATACTCAGGCTGCCTGCTCATCCCTTCAGCCACCTCTCTCTCTTTCAATTTGCTCTTAATCCTTGCTTCACCCAGATTTCAGCCATGGCGACCTACTGGCTGAGGAAGGCAGGTAGCTGGGGGCCCCAGCAAGATCTGCCTGGCCCATGGCCCCAGCAGGTACAGCCCTTCAGCACCTGTCCCTGACCCAGAGCTGGGAGACAGCCTTTCCCAAAGCAGGCGAGCTGATCCATTTCCCTACTCTAAGCAGGGTGGGACATTTAGGTGAACTCCTCAACCCTAGCAACAAGTTCTTCAAACTAAAAAGAAGATTATACATATTAATAGAGCCCTTTGGGAACTAATCTTTCCCTTGGCTTCACCTTATTTTTTCCTATTCTTAGAGAAGACAGATATGTAAATCCAAGTAGGTATTTGGTTTTCAGCTATATTTAAACTCTAGGAAATCATACTGTGAAATGTGCAAACCTGATCCTATCTGAACAAGGGTGAGAGGAGGGGGTGGGGTGGGGGAAAACTGATGCAGAAACCAAAGCTTTATACAGGTAGGAAGAAGGTGGCTCTCAAGGCATAGATCCTCTGTGGTCTAACAGCTCTCCCTCAGGAATTCAGAGAGACAGGAACAAATAGGGGCAAGGGGAGGAAGCAATATCTTTTTCTTCTTAGGGAAAGAAAGGCATGTAGAATTTTCCAGATGCAGGTCCTAGCATTCTGAGGTGGGTTGTGTATCCCTGTTGCCTCCTCCACACTTACATTATGCCGGGTTAACGAGATTAACCTTTATGATAAGGGTAGTCCAGGATTCAGGGTATCCCCTGATGCTCATCTGCATAGAAATGTGTCCCCAAGAAGACGTGGTTTCCCTGGATGACTCATTATGTTTGCTGGTTGTGGGGTTTTTCTGGGTCCAGAAACACATTTGTGCATTACAAAAAGTTTTTATAATTAATTAATTTATTTTGAGAGAGAGAGAGAACACAAATGGAGGAGGGGCAGAGAGAGGGAGAGAGAGAATCCCAAGCAGGCTCTGCACGGTCAGCACAGAGCCCGATGCAGGGCTCGAACCCATAAACCGTGAGATCGTGCCCTGAGCCAAAGTCGGATGCTCAACCGACTGAGCCGCCTAGGCACTCCCCCAAGTTTTTTTTTCAATTGCACATTACCTCCAGAGTTTTATACATTTGCATGAATGTATAAAATGTATAAAATGTTTTATACATTTGCATGAATAAAGGACTCTTCATACATATTTTTAATGCTGAAACAGCTAAAGGTAATTACCTCTGAGGAGTGGGGGACCTTAGTTTTCACTTTGTGGCCTTTCCACAGGTAGTGGTTAAGTTTATTTTTATTTAATAAACTAGTCACGTCTTACATTCGAATCATTAAAATGCTTAAGAAAAAAATTTAAAAGTAATGCATGTTCCTGGTAACCAAATAAAATCCAGTGTGGATAGAAGAATCTGGAGTAAAAAGTCAGTCTATTTTTTTCACCTCAGCTTTTTCCTTTGGGATATAAACAAACACCCAATTTTATACAAAAGGAGCCATAGAGTTAAGTAAACTTAGAGGTGTTTTTTTTTTTCTTCACTGAAAAAGATACCAAGGGCAATTTTGCATGCCTGTCCAAACAGATGACCTCATTTGTTGTCATAACACAAATACCTTAGAATCTAACTTTCCCCTATCGATGGGCATTTCACGTTCCTAGTTTTCCCAGGGTCACAAATGCTACTGTGACGAATGTCTTTAAACAAGTATTTGGGGGTGCCCTGCATGTCCAGTCCCCACACAAGGGGAGAGATGACGGAGACAGCATTCTCAGAGGTCAGCCTGGTCAGGACTGCCCTGACACTGGCCCTGGGCCTTGTCCCCACTGCTGGGTGGGTGAAGGGCCGGAGAGGGAGTGGTGACAAGACTCCCTGAGGATATGTGTCCCCATCCCTTAGTAAGTGTGGCCCAATCCATTTTTCCAAGGCTCTCTTTCCCTCGGAGAGAAGCAGGGAAGGGCTTTCTTCCCCCCTGCACCACCCTGCGGGGCCCTGCTGGGTAATCACAGCCTCCATTCCTGCTACCTGGGTGTGGAAACTCCTCCTGCCCGCTTCTCCCCACACCATCTTCCTAGGACTCCCAAATTAAGTATGTATGGGGGATGCCTGGAGTGGGAAACTAGTGAAAACAGGTGGAGAGAGGAAAGAAAAAAGAAGGGCAAAGAAATCAGGATCTGAGATTGTTTTTTTTTTCTTTCTTTCTTTTCTTTTCTTTTCTTTTCTTTTCTGTTTATTTATTACTTTGAGAGAGAGACAGAGCGTGAGCAGGGGAGAAGCAGAAAGAGAGGAAGACACAGAATCCAAAGCAGGCTGCAGGCTCTGAGCTGTCAGCACAGAGCC